ATCTAGTTCTTAAACATGACCTCCTGATAAAAACTATAGCACATATAAAAATATACAAAACTGGATGTTTACGTTGTATCTAAACCATGATAATAATGATTTAATAACGATCCCAAATTTTACGGTGGGAAATTTTTCTTTCTCCAAGACATACAGTTCCTTGAGCTTAATTTACATGAAAATATTTGCAAATAGAAAAGGATTCAGTGTTCAGTTACCCTGAGCCACTCCAAGAGCTCCGAACACTCCCACCCTTGTGTCCCTCTTCCAGGAAGGGTATGTCATGTTGTAGTACTCCACAGAATCACCGGTCCAGTCACTCAGCCACAAATTCTGACCAATGAAAGCAGCGTTCTGGATGAAGTAAATCATGAAAACTATGGCAGAATATCCCCAGCCCATGGCTCGCAGGTACTGCAGGAACACTGCAAGCTTCACCTGGAAATCAGCGGGAGATGGCACTCAGGAAACAGGCTATCATTTGTTGTAATCTTGCACTATTTGTAGAAAAACATTGTGTTACCTGTCCTGTTTCCATAGTTTCCTTCTCTATAAGCTTCTGGCCTTTCTTTGGTTCATCAGCATTTTCAGATTTCTTTACGGAAGTATTTCTTCTTAATCTGACACTAAAAAAGGTGAGAAAAATGATCTGGTAAAACATGATTAAATTATTATATATTGTCCATATGTGTTGCACATTCTGCTAAAGATGCTATTTGAGACAAGCTGTTTCCCTGGTTTCATCTGCAACTTTAACAAGCTCGAACCTGCCATTGCGCTGACTGCGGCGGATGCTGTTTTCTCGCTTAAGTGTAAGTGATACAGTGTCCTCCAAAGCACCATCAGGTTGGGCATCATCTCCACCTGGGATGAGCTCAAAGTCTTCTGCGTCCTGGCCCTCACCTAAATTAACAATATACATGGTGTTTTACATATGTGGCAGTAATTTATGGTATTTGGGTCAATATGTGAACAAAATCAACACAAAGTATCCTTAAAAGATGAGAAAAGAAATGTAATTAATTAATTCATATTTGTGATGTATAATTTTAGCATAGATTTTGGTTGTAAAACTAACAAAACAAGCAATGTGTGCAGATTATGTTGCTAATATACTAAGAAAAGGTTGTAATCACCTGTTTCTGAATTTCT